ATTTTTTCGCTTTGGAAATCATCAACTGCAGCGGGACTAGGGCATTTACTTGTTCAAGCCCCTCCCCCTATTCAAAATTAAAACTCAAAGGTTCACTGGTGGTGCCTCAATGCAGAACCCCTGACGACGAAAAAATCTTTATTACTGTCTTTTCCATTTAGGTTGCGATACTTGCCCAGCTCTAACAAGGGAAGGTCTCACATGTCCAGGAGACTCTATCTGCAGCGCAGTATCTACACGTCAAAGTCAGTTTGTATTTGAGGAGACACCAATGTTGTAAGTTTTGCTCCAGGACAATGCAGAGAAGCATACTGCCCTACTGGTACCATGACTGTCAACGGAGGAGTAGAGGTAACCTCTCTGACCTGCAGTGGGCAGGGCACTTGGGTTGACGCAATGGGTACCGTGTACACGGCTGCACAGTGCGAGGTTATGTGTAAGTTGAACTAAGCTGGAGTATTTATACACAATCTAAGGGTTTCTTTGAAGCTTGTCAGGCCTGCACAACTTTGGGCAATGCGGACATACCATGCCCCATGGGGCGCATCTGCGAGGCTCCCCTCGAACGTGTAGGTAAGGTATAAAGAAGCTTAGCTGTTCTACTCAATCTATTTTCTGTTGAGTTCAGGAAGGTAATTCTATCAAATCGTTGACATATTTTTAGATTTAAGCCTGTTAGAATTCTTTCAAGATTATGGGAGAGACGGTTTTTATAAATCGATTTTCTATCAAAATTTTTTGCGATTTGCGGTGACGAGAGATCTACAGGATGGGGCAAAAATCTGGGAGCCTAATATTTTTTCACACAAAATCGGAAGGAAAGACCCAGAAACCAGAACTTTGGTGCACACATAAATCGAACCCATACAAGCAGTGCGCAGCTCTCGTTTTTCAAGATTACCTCTTTGCCTTCAAAGCAGCCCTTTGAAATCTTGGCGAGTCCGCCTGTTGCATGCAGGCAGTCGTAAGATTCGTCCCATGCCTTCACGGTAGCTGCTTCATTCACTGGTCAAATGTTCAGTATAATAGAGCAAGCTTTTGCATTACAAAGAAGTTTTTTGCAATGTTTAGGATTTTTTTGGAAATCTAAATAAAATCAAAATAGATTGCGTAGTGGTTTGGCTGCGATTGCGCGAACAGCACAAAATTATAATTTGAAAGGTATTGAAACTGCTCTATCAATCGGATTCAAGCAGAAGCTTTTATAGAAAATACGGGAAGAATATAGCCTAAAATTCAATACCTGCTGCGCTCCTATGGCTTTCAAAACTATTTTAGGACAGATGGCCACTGGCACGCAGGTAGTATTTCAAATTTTCATTTTGCGTTTTTGAAACAATAGTTTCTGGCAAGCGCAACTACTATGATGTGATAGTGGAAAGGTTCCACTACATTGCATGCATCAAACTGTTGTAGAATATTCATCGCATCTTTAGCTACGAAGTAAATTATACTAGAAATTTTGATTTTTTTGCTCTGCGGAAGCACTGGTTTGAATAATCCAAGTATTACGGAGATATACGGCAAGCATTTCTAGCTAGGAAAAGTTTC